TGACCTAATTTCATTGAAAATGATGCAATTAATAAATCTATGGAATATGAAGAAATTGTAAACCTTCTATGATGTTCAAAATTCTGTTTCTGTCAAACCATTCTTTCAATCTATACAAATACTTTCCACTTCAAATCCAATTTTTGTGAGACTTTGAATAAAAATTAAAAATAATGCGGTTAAACTTTTTCATTTTGCTCATTAAAACATGACTCAAGTTGTTATTTTAATTTTTATTGATAAAAGATTTTCAAAGCTACGTGGCTCTATGTTAGTCAATAATGAATTGAAAAACTCAGCTTTGCAGTTTGGCTTACCCTTGTTAAAAGTAAGTTGGTTTCATCTATCATTAAATTGATTTGTAAAATTCTACCTTCATTATCTTGTGCTCTGTCTTTAATTATATGATCTGTATTATGAGGAAGAATATTATAACTTCTCCCCCTACTGTTGGATTCAACATGATTAAATTCTATATCAGAATCCCAGTCCTTTAACCACTAACTTATTTTCCGAGACTGAATGTGTTTCTTATGAATACATTTATATGCCATTGTAGAGAAAATATTTAATATCTGTAAAATATTTCTTACTTTTATCAATTCTAAAAGTATGTCAAACGTATATGCAAATTTTAACCTAAAGACGTTCACTAGAAAGAAAAATATAAACAATGTCTCAATAATTTTCGAACAGCCCTCGTACTTGTATTAACAAAGTTGTACATATGTATAACAATAAATATACAAACCCAATACCTAATGTCCCTAAAATTTATCTTTTTTTTCTCTAAAAGAAATTAAAACACACTTGTCTGTAAATTGGAGACGATGAAAAGAAAGTGATTGACTGATTCTCGAAAACTGGATAATTTTGTTACTGAAAGTAAGTATGCTGCAAGTGAATCAATTGTTGTTATATACTTATATTCAAAAGATAATTGTGCATTGTTATTCGAGGGTAAGCAGGTTGAGGGGCATGGGTATGCCTCCTATGCAATAATTATTATTCAAAGTAAATTTTGTATATGTTTGATTAGTAAAATTCATAAATTGTCTAAGTCAAATCGTAGTCATTACTTTTCTTGCGTTGACTATAATAAGCTTCAATTTAATTGGCCGCCGACAATAGTCGCCTCGACTTTGACAGTTTGATACATGTTCTGATGTAGCATTTTCGTGGTCCGTGTTATCGGCGCGGCATATAACACATGCATAATTCAGAGAAATATCGTTTTATTACCTGATTATTTATGTCAACCGAAAGTTGTTCCCAGCCTTCTCTTTTTAATTAATTTATCCTTAAACTGTAGAATCAGTGTTAACTAGTACGTTTGTTGACGCGACCGACTTGGAGCAAAATCGTTACCGGATATTTAAAACGCTAAGTAAAAGTCAAACCAGTATAGTTTAAAAATAACATCTCGGAAAAAGGAAACGTGGTTCCGGTTTTACTATTCGTAAATGACGTAGTGCATGTGTAGACCTACTTTAAACTGTTTTTAAAGGAATTTTTAGCCATGTAAATATACCATTGAAATCTTTGAATTTTTTTAGCAGAACCCTCTAAAAGTAAGTGAAAAAGGATAGCTCTACATTGGAATTTCTAAGAAGAAACCTTAAACATTGCCTTCCTGACTGCAGAAAAGCAGCTTTTTATCGTTGGTACGCTCAGCTCTGGAATATAGCTTAATTATATGAGATCTCCATCTTCAGAAAGGCATCATGAAGCTAGAAAAGGTGCAACGCCAAGCAGCACGTTTCATCACGGGGCACTATACATCCCGGTTGTATCACACAGATGCTAAGCGACTTCCCTGCATACGCATGTATTCATTAATTTTAACTGTTTTAATTATATAATAAAATCAAATGATACATTTTATAAGGTAATACTGCAATGCAAGTACATACACATTTTTCAAGTTCAGATTTGGTGTTGTACACGTGACCAACTGAATGCTGATAAATTCATGAAATTAAGGATGCAAAATAAATGTCATTTGAAATTGTGAGATCGAATATCAACAAACTTTAATGCTATTATTTTTTCCTTTTGCCAACGTAAAAAAAATGAGTTGCATGTATCTAGTCTGACAAAAATTTTCCAGTCTAACAGATCATTTTACTTGTCAGAGCAAATAAATGTCTGAAAGTGATATTTTCCGCAGTATTTTTTTTTTTTTAAAGAAACGTTGTTCTGTCTCTTTATTGCTGAAACAAATTGAAAGAAGTTGGGTTAAACCTTAGCGTTCCTTTGACCTTACATCTTTGTTTACATCTCTATATTTAGACAATCGCGTCATTGTCAAACCAGTTAGACCAGTTGTTGCTCCTTGGATGACCTCGCACTTTTTGTAATGGAGCGGAGTGGAGTCAGCCGAGGATTGCCGAATGATAAATGACGGAAAACTGGGACTTTTTTTATACGGAAATCAAAATTTACGTGTCATTTCTCAATAATAGAGATGACAAAAATATGCTATTCAAATTAAGTTTAATAAAATTCTATTTCATTTACTTTCAAATCATGTATGAAAATTAGATGAATTCAGAAAAATTGAGATGGACTATTTTTATTGCGGAAGTTTCTTCGAGTTTATATAGACTGGTACGAGTTTGTATTGAATATCACAGGGGAGTAAATTGGCCGACACAGAAACACCACGACGGTCGCTATATATTTCATTGTAAAATTACTGCGCTAGAAACCGCGTGACGGCCTAGGGAGTCTGAACATAGTTCAACTCCCAATAATAAGGTGGCAGAGGATAGTTTCGAATAAAGTACCGTCAAAAAATAGAAAAAATAGAGAAACCTGAGGTTTGAATGCATATAATAGGTAATTTTACATCTAGAATATTTTATGGGTGCATTTGGAGGGAATTGGTGGCCTTGTATATTTTATTGAAATATGACACTTTAGTGTCACTACTACTGTATATGGGATATGGACTAGAAATACGAAACTAAGCTCAAAACTCGCTCTACCGGTATTTCACCAGAAAAGCGGGGTGGGTTCATAGGATGAATTGTAGCTTGAAAAGGAGGTGGTTGAGCCATTATCTCTTGCTGTTCATTGGTATGTACAAATGTTTTTCTGCAATTTGTGTGGTAGCTTAGGTCATGAGCACGGGCCTGGAAGCAGTTGTGGCTGCGGCGAAATAGTGAAAATAGGCTTAATTCACATGAAATTTTGAGATTGTCCCTGCGCCATCTTTAGGGCTCATTGTGTAAGTTGTACATGTTTTATTCCTAAAAGCTTTAAATTCCTCAAGGGACTGTATCATACTATTATTACATGTAGAGGGAATTTAAAATTTTTCAATTCACATTTTAAAAGCAGCTCAATATTAAGTAAACCGTCAGTCAAACGTTTTGATTGCAAAAAAACTATCCTCTGCCACCTAACGGTTTACGTATAATTAACGTTAATTCTATTAACATTTTATTTTTGCATGTTCACAGCATTACATGTACATGATGTACATTATATCTGAATCTGTCCGTTTGAATCTTGAAATCTGTATACGAGTATGTTGGTGTAAGCTTTTTGTACTTTATAACTTTCATTTGAAATACAAGTTTCTCTCTGATAATGCTTGTTATGAAGTTAACATTCCAGTATTTAATGTTCAACTCTAATAGTTTCTTGATCTGTTTTCTAATATTTCGATTGGAGTTTGTGACGTATTGAAGAAAGTCGAATTTTGTTGCTCAGAAGAATTATGGTCAGTTACCTCTGCTTGTTCTGCTCGTTGATTTTGTATATCCTTTTGAGCCTGTAAGATTAAGTCCTTATCCGTAATTAAATTTGTTGAGTCTCCACGTGATGGTTCTTGACTTTCCTTTTAATTTTGGACCGTTTCTGTGAATATTTGTAAAAGATGTTTCTACTTTATGGACAGATTGTCTAAACAAATTCAAAAAAAAGAGAAGTCACAAGTTTAGAAAAGTGGGTATTTCTTAGAATTTTTCTCCTAAGAACTGGAAAATGAAATAGACTTGGAAAATATTAGTAATATTTCAATATAATTACAAATATGGACAAAATACACTCAGTACGGGCTTACAGATGAAAACAAATTTCAGAATATGTTACCTTGGTGTTAAAAGTGTAATATAAACTTAAGAAAAATATACCATGCCAGGTGAATTTTATTAGGAAAAGTAAAATAATTGAAATCAGCCTTTGTGATATTGATGATTTTTTGTCATTTTGTTATAGAAAAGGCATGTCAATCAATGCGTTGATCTCGACGCAAAATGTAATAACGCAAAATGTAATAATCCAAACATCGTTTTATAGCATCTCTCGTTGTAACATTGCTGGGCTATCACTTTGATTCTGTGATCATTAAATATAAAAATTTTACATTTGAATTTAATTTTGTCATTGTTCCCATCGCAGGCGTTGGCACAATAAAGATCCATCTTTGCAGAATGGACTTGAGTGCCGAGTAAAGGTCAAAATTTAAAGCCCTTGACTGGTACACATGGTGACGTCTCTATATAAGTGAAAAATGCTCGAACGGGATGCAAAGCAACAATCAGTCAATCAGTCCTCATTTTTAACTTTATTTAGGTCATTGGTAATAATGTCCACCACGACTATACTTGTAGGAAGAAGAACATGAACACGGTAGGACGTATATGTTTAAGATGTCAATATTTAGACACTTTGCAATAAATATTCTAACATGTTCAAAACCATATAAACTGCATTTTTTAGAGCTTTATTTTGCTGTTAAAATGTGACATTATTCAAAATTTGTGTGTAATTTAAACCTTTATGATTAATTGCACTAAAAAAGTTTAAAATTGCCTCAGAAAAAAATACATATGTACAATCAAATATATACATGACTGTATTATTACTAGTATTCAAGTAAGCAGTATTATGCCGTTTTGGATTCGCCCACATAAGGGAATGGGGGAAAGGGGCGAAAAAAATGGAGGAGAAATTTCGCAGTAAACAGTATATCTCTTGCAAATTAAAGTTTAAGAAATATCTGCGAGATAATCTTGTCGTTCTATATATCTGTATGCATACAGTATGTTGTTGTTGACTGATCCCATCCAAACAAGATGATTTTTCTCGTCATAGCCCATACCCAATGGATCAACCATCCCATCTTGTTTTGTTGGTAAAATTGATAGAATTGACAGGAGATGGCCGTCCTTGTCAATCATGTGTATTGTTTGGTCCAATCGACTACAGATCAGGATATTTAAGAATGTATCTACACAGGTTCCATGTGGCATAAAGAATCCTAATGCTGATCCTTTTGGTGGTCCTCTGTAAGTGAAACGATACTTTCCATTATGGTAAGTGACCACCAAGCCACTCCATGCATCAGAAACAATAACATCACCATTACGGTTCTCTATGATATAGATAGGTTCACTATATAATTGCTGGTCTGAGCTGTCATACTGGATGGTTTGTACTGGTTGTACTTTGTCATTAAACCGAATGACTTTCACCTCTGAATTAATGGTAAGGTTTCTTGTATCATATCTCATCATGACCAGCAAATCTTCAGTAGAGGAAGAATGACAGATACACCATGGTTCCCATAGTTCAATTCTCTGAATCAGCGTCGATTTTGTAGTATTATCTGCACTTAGTTTGTTAATGTTCCAGTCTTTGTCCACATAAATCAACTCTCCAACATTGTTAACAGTATGTACTCCATAATATTTATTAACATCATAGAAATGATGTAGAATATTTCCTTTAGAATTGGTCAAAATAAGACTGCGTCTATCACTAACCCAAATTTTATCTGGTGTCACAAAAGAAATGTGAACACCATGAATTAAGTCAGTCACAGCAACAAACTTCTTTAACAAACCTTTTTGCACAAGTTTCAACATTTGTTCTTTTTTTACTTTTCTTTTTCCTGCCTCTGTGATTTTGACTTCATCTAAAATGTCATTCATGTCTCTTATACTGATTTCATTCAAAAACCTAAACATTATGTTAATAGGAAATTCTATTGCCTTGGGGACAGGTGTTTTCTTTATGAGCAACAGAAACTTTACAGGTTTGTTTGCCAATTCCGTGTAACTTTGCACATACTCCTTCATTTTTTGATGCTTCAATATACAAGTAGTATAAGTATTATAAGTATTTGGTTTATCATTTAGTGTCTTCCTATGCCTATCGATTAGTTTTTTCAAGTTTTCAGCTTTAGCCGTTAGCTTTTGATGAATACTGGAGAATTGTGCTTTCAAAATTTTTACATCTTTTTTCACGTCAGATTTGAGACCCGCTAGGATCGCACGACTGTGTGGCAGACTCTCACCTCTAATTTGAATAATTCTTTCCTTGTGTTCCTCTCTTTGAATCGTGCAGGCTAATTTGATATCCAGAATTTCATGTTCTTGATGTTTATCATTTTTATCACAGATGAGACATTCACAGGATTTGCACCAGCTTTTATATTTGCAGTCTGGGTGTATATCACATAACTCTGGTGTTATAAAGTCTCCATGCTTTAAACGGTAAATAACAACATCATGGTCTTTGGTATCGAGGTACACAACGTGTTCCTGCTTACAGGGCATACAGAAATTTTGTTCACATGGTCTGCAGTAGAATTCCACATCCCTCTGACACTGACAGCATTGAAGTACTTTGATTTGTGTTGTGGTATCCTTATTCATGGTGTTTCTTTCATGAATCTGTTTTCTCTTTTCTAGGTTCAAAGTGTTATTTCAGGGGACATCTACAATGAAAAAGATATTTTTTTTCATAGACATTAATATTCATACTAAGTAAAATGATTCAAATTTAAAAATGTATGTGTAGTAAAATTGTTCTGTTTCGGAGGTCCGTGTTTGCTCTGCTCTTATTTTGTATTGCTTTATGGACTTTGAGATTGAATAATGTTCGTTATCTCCATGTACTTTCTCTTTAAAACAAGAATGTTACCTCCCTCCCCCCACAAGTGAATAACAAATTATCCGGGAAAAAGTCAGAGTGCAAGTCTTTGTGACATTTTTCTTACACTTAAATGTCAATAAATATTTCTGTTTTTTTATTGAATAAATATGTTGATCATAAACTATGTCATAATAGAATGAGTGTTTGAAAAACAAATTATCCGGAAAAAAATAATGAGAATAATAATGCAAGTATGTTCATGATCAAATGATTTGAAAACATTTGCGCCATTTTTCTTATCTTTCTATGTCTATTAATGTTTCTGTTTTATTGATCGTAGAGTACTAAAGATAAAACGTTATCTTTTTTTTTACTAGTAAATCAATATCAAACAAGTTGCATACTTTACCTGTAATCAGCCATGCGAAAGAAAACTGTCTAAAATCCAGATAAATAGTAGAAACCAAATAAAATATTAAAATTTAAACAGTTATACAACAACATAAGGACTGTCCCATTGAATCCATACTTCTTCCGATTCCATTACTGATCCTGATAATAAACATGTGTAATGTTAAGTGGGAGGGAAGTTATTAAGAAGTTCGACGGAAAAAAACCCCAGATTCAATGTTAACTTGATTTTCCTCACATTTTTGTCAATCTGTTCCTGGACACTTTATTGTGGTGGAATATTAACTGTTCTTAGACTTAGATTTATTTTCAATTTTTACTCTAAAGCAATATGAACTTCAACATTCAAGTCAGAATATCTGTTGTAAAATTGTGATTAACTAAAGGAAAAAAAACATTTATAAACTTCCGTTGTTTATATATTTGTAATGGACGAACTATTCATAAGCTTTGCAATTGATTCAAACAAAACTACATTATTGTCATTCTGATTTCTTATAAACTACTTTATTAAATTTTCATCAATGAAATACTGTGATTCATTTATTTAATCAAAGTAATATTCTGTCATAGTGTCAAGGATATCAAAATGAGATCCTTTCACAGTGTGACCTCAGGGGCCCATTTTACAAAAGAACTTAAAGTATGCTGATTACTTTCCCTTTTACACTGATTTTCTTTTTCTCTTTTTAAAGAATTCAACAAGATATTTTATGGTACGAAATTCTAACAGCATCATTATTTTTGAAAAATTTTAAAAAGAACATAAGTATTATATACATCGAATCAAAGACTGACGGACTTTTTCATACTGATTTACACATTAAATTGTCTACGAATTTCCTTTTTTATTATGTCAAAAAGCACACGGAGAATATGACCGGTCAGCAGGGGATGCTTACTCCTCCATAGCACTGATCTCATATCTGAAGTTTTAGAGGCCAGCGTTTCCTCTGCTCCTAATTTGAATTTTTTAATAAACTAAGCATAAATACTATACAATTTTGCTGTTTTTGAGGTCAATACAATGATTTAGCCATCTGAGGGGTACAATACTGTACTTCGAAGATGGCTAAATCATAGTATTAATCGAAAAAAACAGCAATAATTATTTTGTTATATGATTCATTGATGAGATTATACAGCTCGTTACTTGTTTGCATTTAATTAAGGCCTAGCCAAATACAAGAGAGAAGCAAAATCAAAATGTAGATAAACCTTACTAGTCGTAGCAATTTGAAATGTTTTTTATCATTTTTTTTTGCCATGAAAATAATACTAATGTCAGTTTTTTTATAGGATAGATTTTGAAATGAAGGAATAGTATCAGGGAAAACTGACGGCCAAAAAGTAAAAATTGTTGTTCAGTAAAAGTGTTGGAGGGGGTCCCTGCATCCTCTCTTACCACCCTCACCGGAAAATATATATTCTCTTATGTTTTGTTCACATAAAAAATTCATAGTCGTTTAGATAGCTTTTAAAAACGATTTGTATCGATTTGGAATTTACCGATTTATTTTAAGATCAATGTAGAGGAAATAAATCGTTGTATTCACATTGAACGTTGCGTAGTATTTTTCTGACATAGTTGAATCTTGAATCAAAGAGATGGAAATTATTCAATGATATAATAATGTTCGTTATCTCTATATCATGAATAAAAATACATATTAGCTCTCATTGTGTGGGGATCAGATCATGATCATGCAGACCAATAAGAGCATCCAAAATATCCCTGTCTGTAATGTATGAAAAAGGTGTATATAACGAGCAGTGATCGATCTAAAAAAAAAATAGAAACAATACAATTCTGTGAACACAGCATAACAGAGACCCATATGAATTAGTGGGATAAGGTGCCTAGGAGGATTAAGCATCCCCGGTCGACCGGTCATACCCTGCCTAGAGACCTTATTTATTGATTAAGTACATGGAACATCCCATAGTCAATTCAATACAAACAAAGTTCTATCAATTCGATTGAAATAAGTCAGACAAACCACTAGCAAATTGAGGTTTATGCAAAATAATCTTGTCGTTCTATATGTCTGTATGCGCAAAGTCTGTTGGTGTGGCCTGATCCCATCCAATCAAGATGATTTTTCTCGTCATATCCGAGACGCAATGGTGTAAATATCCCATCTTGTTTTGTTGATATAATTGACAGCAGATGGCCGTCCTTGTCAATCATGTGTATTGTGTGATCCGTTCGACTACAGATCAGGATATTTAAGAATGTATCTACGCAGGTTCCATGTGGAATAAGGAACATCTATGGAAATACTTTTGATTGTCCTATGTAAGTGAAACGATAATTTCCATTATGGTCTGTGACCACCACGCCACGCAATGCATCGGAAACAACAATATCTCCATTACGGTTCTCTGTAATATAGATAGGTTCACTGTATAATTGCTGGCCTGATTTGTCGTACTGGATGGTTTGTACTGGTTGTACTTTGCTGTTAAACCGAATGAATTTCACCTCTGAATTAATGGTAGGGTTTCTTGTAATATTGCCCTTTACATTTGAACTTACATTGTGGCCCCGCCCAACACCGATGGGGTCATGACTTGGTCAAAATTGAATATGCACTACCTGACAATGCTTCCATATGAATATGATTAATCATGGCTTTGACATTCTTGAAAAGAAGATTTTTATAATTTTGCTACATATTTCTATGTAAAACCTGGATTTCATGGTGTGGCCACGTCCTACTCAAAGGGGTCATGATTTGACAAACTTGAATCTACACTACCTAAGGATGCTTCCATATAAATATGACAATTCATGCCTTTGCTATTCTTGAGAATTAAATAAGTAAGCCACCAGCAAATTAAAGTTTATGCAAGATAATCTTGTCGTTCTATATGTCTGTATGCGCAAAGTCTGTTGGTGTGGCCTGATCCCATCCAATCAAGATGATTTTTCTCGTCATATCCGAGACGCAATGGTGTAAATATCCCATCTTGTTTTGTTGATATAATTGACAGCAGATGGCCGTCCTTGTCAATCATGTGTATTGTGTGATCCGTTCGACTACAGATCAGGATATTTAAGAATGTATCTACGCAGGTTCCATGTGGAATAAGGAACATCTATGGAAATACTTTTGATTGTCCTATGTAAGTGAAACGATAATTTCCATTATGGTCTGTGACCACCACGCCACGCAATGCATCGGAAACAACAATATCTCCATTACGGTTCTCTGTAATATAGATAGGTTCACTGTATAATTGCTGGCCTGATTTGTCGTACTGACCCCTGTTGACCGATTTGTGAACAGCGCATACCGGAAATTACAGTGGAGGGATCAGGTACCTGGGAGATGTAAGCATTCCCTGTTGACCGGTTATAACCTGTCTTGAACCTTATTTATTGATCAAGTGTACGTATCATTCTGTAGTCAAATTCAGCACAAAAAAAGTTCTACCAATTGATTTGAAACAAGTCAGCCGAACCACCAGCAAATTAAAGTTTATGCAAGATAATCTTGTCGTTCTATATGTCTGTACACACACAGTCTATTGGTCTTGCCTGATCCGAACCAAACAAGATGATTTTCTTCGTCATATCCCAAACCCAATGGCTCAACCATCCCGTCTTGTTTTGTTGATAGAATTGACAGAAAGAGACCGTCCTTGTTAATCATTTGTATTGTTTGGTCTAATCGACCAGATAATAGGATATTTAACAATGTATCTACACAAATTCCACAAGGCATAAATATTCCAAATGACAATCCTTCTGGTGGCCCTGTGTAAGTGAAACGATATTTTCCTTCACGGTCTGTGACCACCACACCATTCCATATATCAGATACAACAATATCTCCATTCCTGTTCACCGTGATGTAGACAGGGTCATGATATAATGGTTTGCCTGTCCTATGGTATTGGACGGTTTGGATAGGTTGTAGTGTACTATTATACCGAATGACTTTCACATCTGATAATGTTATGGCAGGGTTTCTTGTATCATATCTCATCATGACCAGCAAATCCCTAGAAGATGCTGAGTGACAGATACACCATGGTTCCCACAGATCCGTTCTCTTTATCAATGTCGATTTTGTAGTATTGTCTACACTAAGTTTGTTAATGTTCCAGTCTTTGTCTACGAAAATCAACTCTCCTGCACTGTTTACTGTATGTACACCATAGTATTCACTTGCATCAGATAAATGATGTAGATTGTTACCTTTAGAATTCGTCAAAATAAGACTGCGTCCATCACTGACCCAAAGTCTATCTGACGTCACAAAGGAAATGTGTCCACCGTGATATAAGTTAGTCACATAAACATGCTTAATATTTAGGATAGCCCCTTTTAATAGCCTGAACAAATGCTCATTTCTAACTT